CTCGAAACGTTCTTTGAGATATATGGGGGGTTAAAGAGAGTACAATATAGTAATGAAAGGACATGAATATTGCGGCGAAGGCGAATTGGTAACCACTTGAGTTTAGTGCGAAATTCAGATTTCGCACTAAACTCAAGTTAGTCTCTTATTGCGCTAACAGGGTTCCGTCTTCATGGAAGACTGCCCACGTCCACCCTATCCCCAAGAAGGGTGACCGGTCGGACCCATCGAGCTATAGGCCTATCGCGATAACTTCCTTGCTTTCCAAGGTGATGGAGCGAATAATTAATATACAACTCCTGAAGTATCTGGAGGATCGCCAGCTGATCAGTGACCGACAGTACGGTTTNAAAAAAAAAAAAAAAAAAAAAAAAGATACCTACATGATCATATTTCCGTAACCCAAATATGAACCTTATGCAGAAATTTTGTAGCCGCTCAAGTTTATCAAATTGTGTTTCGGTTAGATCCGGATAGCTGGAATCGGCGTAGTCAAGAATTGGAAGAAGTAAAGACTTCAAATTAATCATTGAGAGAAAATGTACATATGTTAATGGCTCTCTAAGGAGTCACCCTGTATATGAAGCTACTTAAAATTTATGAGAATGAAATCGTGGACAGTTTTGAAAGTCATAGACTAACAGAGATCTCGGCGTAAAACTTATAGTGATAATATTAAGTGTTAGTAGATAAGGCACTTTTATCCTTAGTCTGTCCACGCGACATTCACAAAGTGTCACGTGCCGCATGCGTGGTTATTTAGTACGAGTAATCATGCGTTTTCCGCAAGACTTTGCCAAGCATTACGTTGAATTGCTTTGTAAAACCTTTAATATTTAAACTTATATGGCCGACATTTTTAAGTATTAACGTTCTGTTTTAACATCTTAGCTTGTTGGAAAGTAACGTCTTGTCACTTTATGATTTAAAACGGCTTGGTGTGTTTGTACGAAATCTTTCTTAGAAGTTCGCATTGGACAAATAAGTTATTTACAAACCGTTAATTTAAGTATTTTACGCGTGTGTTTACCCGACTGCCGAAGGAGGGTATTGTATTTCGAACGTATGTGTAATTTTAATTCTTTGGTACGGTCTTAGAGCCTTTAATTTATTAACTGATTACAACATAGCATTCATCATTCGTATGGTATTTAGTACCTCTTAAGGTAGATTCGTCGCATTTGTGAGAGTTACGTAGAGTATTTTATTTCAAATGGTGTCCACACAAACAAACTCAAGGTAATCAAATAGCTATAATGCACAAAACAAATACTAGATTTATATTATTATGTATTATAGTATCAATATTACCAAAACTGTAGTAAAGTTATTTGCATAGTACAAGGAAAGAAATTAAATATTTTTGTGTAATATAAGCGTTCCCCCAGTGCATTTGGTTTTATCAAATAATGTACATGTTGACACGTTAAACTCAGTATAATAAATAATATGTTAAGCCCTGGATGATGGAAATATTAAGTATTAATTTTTACAGCAGTTTAAAATTATTCTTGTCATTTTTATGATCCTTTATCGAAATGTCTGTTCCTGATGAAATCCTTTTTTCAATATCGACCTTTTTTATCCTTGTTTCGAAGGTTCATGCTCACCTTTGTTCAAAAAAGTAAGTGAGCTTTTTTAAAATCTGGTAATTGTAATGGTACTTGTTAAATGGCCGAATGGTTACTTTTTTATATTTTTTAATTTTATATTTGAGAGGTTACTGTTGGCCCGGAGGCGTTTCCAGTTTTACCAGAGCAGGTGGGCGAGCAAAGGCTCAGGCAGGAGGGGTGGGATTTGCTGACAGCTACCCGAGCGCCACCAAAGAAGACCTAACAACCCAAGAGTAATTGCTTCGCGAATGAATACTCCCGGATCGGAATCGCGACCCGCTGAGAAGATCTGGCGAGAAACTCAGCGGGCTGATCTTTAGGTTAGGTTGCACGTCGAACTCGGCAGAATTCGACGACAATTACCGGGGTCTCTACTCCTAGTGTTAGAGCTAAAGGTGTCTAATGCAAGGGTTGTTGGATCTGGTGGATCCGTAAGGCTTATTGCTGTCGGACTATAGTATGCTTTTAATTATTTCCTGAGGAAGTGGTGTTCTACATTGTTATTGAAGGCTTCTCTATTCTACCATTTTTTATTGTAAGAGTGTGTAGGACATTGTTGTGTGTGAATAATGGTTGCCAACTTAATAATTAAATTCTTCTGAAGTACGCCATATAAAAAGCACTGAATAGTATTGTTTCAATATGCCGTATTGTGTGCATCTGACATCCATATCCCTACAAGAATTGTTGAAAATATAATAATAAATTCAAAATGACTGTGATCGGAATGGATTAGCTTCTTTAAAACAAGCAATTAAAAATAAAGATCCTATTTGAACATTAATTTATAACACGTAGTCTTAATATTCGCAGACCGATTTTTTCATGCTCAGGTCAAGCCACAAGTAAACGATTTTCCGGATGTGATTGGTAAAGCTACTACTAGAAATCAATAATACCAGCTCTATGTATTTACGGTTACTTTAATTAAATTCTATAAAATGCAACTGATAAAAGCAAACAAGTTAAAAATTTGACTCACCATAACTGCTCGTTTTGAAGGTCGGGCTACCGCTTGTATTTGAGTTGAATCGTTGGGACAGCAGCGCGTGTCCCGGTGGACAGCGCCGACCACTCTGTCTTTTCCCGCCAAAAGCTCATGACGGCTTCGACCACACGCGAACCACGCCAAAATAAAATTTCGAAAATAGCTCACGCGATTATACCGCGGTGAAATTAAAATAGTTTTACATACGTAACGACGCTCGGTGCGAGTGCGTAAAACCGATTTCCCCCCTACAGAGTTTTCATGGGATTTGGGGTGTTTTTAAAATACACCCGACATATTCATATTGCATATTGCAGAACAATACTTAGTTTAATAGGATTACATTTTGTTGTTTACCTGCAACAAATCAATGTAGGTATTCACTGTAGGGTTGTGATTTCGGTGAGTGAATCGGTCCGTACCCACCGCCTTATCTATTTCAGTAGCAAAGCAAGTCTCTTTTGAAACCATAAGTCAATACTATCGAGTTTTCTACTTCAGGTGAAGACCGGGGACCGGGATTTTGATGTCTGCGATCAGACCAGGCGAGTCAATCAGTACACTCATCTACATAAGGGGATTTAAAAACCCATTCCCCTGGTAGAAATACTGAACGTAAATTTGATTTTAAAATGAGAACATCTCAACCTTTGTTGTATAGAAATACATTGCATAGAAATACAATAGCTTATTATTGACCAATATTTAATTAACAACGAAATTGATTGTTCAGTAATATCAGGTTTTCCACTTCACTGCGAAGAAGTACCCTATTGTTATGGTGTCGCAATTCTAAGAAGTACCCCTGCAACCTTCTATGAGTATTGGGATACTTGAGGTTGACTTTTCGAGTGATCCAATTTCGGAATCATTTGGGGGCAATGCCAAGTGGCGTCCATAATGCTCAGTCCTCAACAGAGCGAAGCGGTACTTCACGCCAGGACAAAGACTTTTGCTTTATAAAGCACAAGTCCAGCCTCCCGTGGAGTACTGCTTCCAAATCTGGACCGGGGTTCCTAAATTTTTTTTATTTTTTTTTATTGCTTAGATTGATGGACGAGATCACAGACCACCTGGTGTTGAGTGGTTACTGGAGCCCATAGACATCTACAACGTAAATGCGCCACCCACCTTGAAATATAAGTTCTAAGGTCTCAAGTATAGTTACGACGGCTGCCCCACCCTTCAAACCGAAACGCATTACTGCTTCACGGCAGAAATAAGCAGGGTGGTGGTACCTACCCGCAGGGACTCACAAGAGGTCCTACCACCACCTTAGGATATTTCAAACGTCATCAAATCTGATTTGAAAAGTATTCTATGCGGTAAAGAGTGATTTTCAGTTATTTTTGAAGACCGAAGAATGAATAGTCCATTTTAATGTAAGTGGTTACTGCTGCCCACGGACGCTGACAATGTCAGGAGCACAGTCAGACCTCCGCTTACCGTAAAGTATCTTACTTAAGTTTCGTTTAATGAGGGGAATGTCACACCATAGTAATTGCGAACAGAATCAATTAAGACGAACTTATTTTAATCGTAGTGGAATTTCCTAAATGGGTTTCCTAAATAAATGAAACAACTGTTGTGTATTTAAGAAATGTTCTAAATCAGCATATTTATTTATGTCATTCGTTTAACGTTTTCCGTGAACAGTGTTTTGTTAGTTACACGATCAATAACAAAAATCTAAGGTATTACATGTTTTAAGATATACCTAGCTGTTGTTTTAATAGCGTCATATCTTTGATGTGTTCTTTATTATTATTTATTGCATAGATGGGTGATCGAGATCGCGGTCCCCTTGTGTTAGTGGTCCTATTGATATTACAATGTGAATGCCACCACTTAAGACACGAGGTCGTTAAGTTAATTGTATAGTGATGCGACTGTCACCATTCGTTCGCGGCTGGATGGTGGTACCTACCCGTATAGGCTGACCCTATCGCCGTTAAATTTTTATTAAAAATAACAGGCGTAACGTATTGATGATCATGTCGATTATGTAACTAAATCTTATACCTTTAAACGAGCAATTCTTGTATATATAGGTATATATATAATCTGAATCTCGGAAACGGCTCCAACGATTTTCATAAAATTTAGTATACAGGGGATTCGGGGGCGATAAATCGATCTAGGTACGATTTATTTTCAGAAAACGTTGTTTTATTCGTGTTTTCATTAATCAACTTTATTGATATCTTCCTGACATCTATTGGCGAATAATAATACTATTTTTCATAATTTCAACTAACTGCTTTAAAGACACAATAACACTAAAGCTATTTCAGAAGATGGCGTTGTTAAGCCACTTATAAAAAAAAATCGACCGGTTATTGTCTAGTAAACGTTTAATTGAAGCAATAATCTATTGGTCATATTCAATTATTTTTTTAAATAATTCTACGTAATTATGCATCTGTGCTATAACTACATAATGCGAATGTTAATCAAGACACTTTCCTCTTCAATCTAATTCATAGATTCAGAATTCGCATTTATGATAAATCCAAGAAATGTTTATGTTAAGAACTTGAGCGATTTTTTTTTTGTAATTACTTTAAAACTGAATTAATTATACTCGAATCCATCATGAATGTCGGGCATTCGTTTTACGTTTGACACAGAAAGAAGAAAGTCCAAATATAGGGTAGTTTAGTGTTGTATTTTTTTTCCAATAATTGCAAAACTTGTTGATTGAACACAAATTGGCTAGCAACAGCAAAAGGGTTCTTCGAAATTAGCTCCAGTTTTTTTTTTCTAACTAATACTTTCATAGTTTAATAGTCTAATATATATTCTGTCAAACTCAATTCGGATGTCATGAAAACTTTGTTCGAATATTATAGAAATATCTATGAGTAAAATTCACATTGATGTAGTTACAGCCAGCATGGAATTGAAATTATTTTAATAACCATGAAATATAATTTAAGTAGTTTGATATATTTCTGATTCAATACATTTGTCACATAAAGCTAATAAAGATAGTATATAAAAATTTTCATTTAAATCTAGACGCAACGTAAGTACTCAAAAATTATTCGCACATGAAAATCTAAGTACATACTGAAAATCGTTACATTTTAACTAATAAACATTTTTATATCATCTCGTCTTGCACAGACTTCGATGTTCAAATATTCGTATACTTAAGTACAGTTAAAAATTGAGCTAAAATTATCACACAATTACAATATAATAACGCAATAAGTAGCCGTGAAAAACAGTTGACAGTTTCGAAGATACTAGTAAAGACATCAATATATTTTGTGCATAGCAAAATGCAAATACAAAAACAACAAGAGAAAGACATGAGAGAACGACCAACACGACATACTTGAAGCAGGATATTAATGAATTAATGTAATATGCTTTCACGTCGCTAATCGCTAATTGTACCGTCATCGGTCAAGATTTTCTACCCAGCGCTGTTGTTACTCCGCAGACAGACCCTCCGTATGTTGTTCTAAACTTGTATGCACTCAAGCTAATCTTCTAAGTTTCTTGCGGTTCAGATTTTCGTTAAGTAACGTCTATTTTTTGATAACTATCGCGACATCACTTTAGTATTACACACGAACATTTTTTAATTGCCTACCTAAACTCTATCAATATCATATCGATAATAGAAATCGATTTATAAAGTGACAAACCATAAAATTTAATCCATTTTTCAATATCATTACGTACATAATAATATGACGTCATTTCTTGAGTCATTATAAAAAAAAAAAAAAACATTATCTTGGCAAGCTCGGGTGCCATATTGGATTTCGTAATATCATGTCATCGTAAAATAATTATGAATTGCAAGTAAACTTTACATTCTGTTACCTCTACATGATTTGGTTACGTTTTTTTGTAGGCACTTAAAAATTTATTAGTGTGTAATTTTAAAAATAAAAAGCTTTGAAGCAAAAACTACACAATTAATACAAACAAGTAAGTACGATATCCTTAACTTTTAAATGCCAATTACTCGGGAATGCTAATGTAGTATATATTATTTTTTGAAATAACTATAGTCTTCTGTTCTGATTTATAACCCAGAAATATATAGTATCTTTTTATTTGGGAAAGTTTAAAAATGCATGCTCGAATGTTATATAAATGCTGATTGGGCTAAGTAGTATATAAAAACAAATTTATTTAAATTTTAAACACCCACACCCGACTGTGATAAATTGTAAATTTTAATATAAAAATATGTAAGAAAGCAAAACCCTTTATGTAAAGCTTAATAGGCACTTAATTACCAGTTAATCTAATTGTCGAGGTATGTGTTGTTATTTTTATAAATTCTTAGTTTGAACACAGTAGGGGGAAGACTTTTTTTAAAATATATGTAGAAAGGTATCCGTTATTTACGTATACGTAATATATGGCGGCAGTATAAAATATGGGAATATATATTAATTATCTACCTGAAGTTTTTTTTTCTTGTAATCGTTAATAAATTGGTATTAAGTAGAAACAATCGATAAAATGGCAACACAGTCGCATGTCAAGGTGCGGTGTGACGACGAGACAGCGGCGTTTTCGGTCCGTGTTCATCGTCGTTCGTTTGCACTAGTCACGCGTATGTCTCCTTGAAACGTTTCTGGATGTGATGGGCCGCGTTGAGCAGACGGTGGTGCAGGGTGAGGTGCGGGTGCGGGGTGAAGGCGGGAGGGGCGGGCACCGGCGCCGCGCGGATCGGTAACGCCGGCAGCACTGCGTCGTTGTCCGGGTGACAGAAGAACGCCACGCAATGGCGGCTGCGGGCGCGCGCGTACGATCCCGCCGGCACGACTACACGGTGAACCTGAGCATGAGTTTAAAAATATATATTTTCATATCTTCACTACATAGTATAAAACAAAGTCGCTTTCTCTGTCCCTATATCCCTATGTATGCTTAAATCTTTAAAACTACGCAACGGATTTTGATCCGTTTTTTTTACTAGATAGAGCTTCGATCAACAATAGTAACGATAGAGTGATGGAAGAGGAAGGTTTTTATGTATAATAACATCTATTAAACAGTGGAGAAATCAATAATAAATTACAGTTTCCGGAGCGAAGCGAGGGCGGGTCGCTAGTTAATTTTATAAATATCACACTGGTAAGGTATTCTATGAGCCAGTCGGTACGTCAGCTGCGAAGCAGTAATGCGTTCCGGTTTGAAGAATGGGCCAGACGTACTATAGAACTGGGACTTAGTCTCCTTGGACTTCCGGTGACCATTTAACATCAAGTCGTGAGCTCGTTCACACGTCTACACAATACGAAAATTTTCGTAAGATTTCACAAGACGCGCATTAAAGAAAGATACGGTCAAGAAATGTTTGATATCAATAAAAAACTAAATTGCACGATTTTAAACCTTAAAATCTACTTTTTGTTATTGTTCGATAAGCTAACAGTTTTACTTTGTAAAAAGTAAGCCACAGTAAGTGAAGAAGAAAAGTGTGAGTCCGGCATTTCAAGTTGAGCACCTAGTTCAAGTTTAGAATTTTAGGTAGAAATAACTTTATATCTTTTTACTGTGTTAGCAATGATGAATGTGGACAGTACCTTGCAAGTATACCGACTATTGCTCGATAATACGATCCAGTCCTGCGATCTGTATAGCGATCCAATCAATCATGCCAGAGATGCAGAGAAACATTCAAGCTCTTTCATAATCCTTGATAAGATCGAAACTAAATCTGCCCAACTACGACAAAATAAACTTACCAAAGCGGGCAGAAGATTTGCAGTCCATGCAGCTAAGAACTCCCCGGTCTGAACAAGAATGGCACCAGGGAGATGACCAACGGCTTGCCACTTCTCGCTACCATTCAGCTTAACCTGAAATTGTAACATTTATATTATTATCTATACATATAAATATAATAGGAATGGCTGTTTGTAATATTGAAATAACCGCTTTTTACTACATGCATATGAATATATATATATGGTACATACACCAAAATAACATTTTTTACAATTTTTGTCTGTCTGTCTGTCTGGCTGTCTGTCTGTTTGTTCCGGCTAATCTCTGGAACGGCTAGACCGATTTTGACGAGACTTTCACTAACAGTTAGCTGATGATATAAGGAGTAACGTAGCCTACTTTTTTTAGACTAGCTTGGCCCCCCGGCGTCACGCCGCGTAACATCGCGGGACTCTGCTATCAATAATAAAATTTAATGTTTCCGAAGCGAAGCGAGGGCGGGTCGCTAGTCAGCTATAAGTTTGAGGGTAGATTAGTTTTATTTCTAAAATACAATATTATAACGACCACACATTTGTTTCTTATCTCGTGACGGGATGGACCGACGCGACGTGAGTGCTCTGTTGACATTTATGACGCACTTTCCAAGCGACCGACTTTTCGTGTAACTGTATTATTACGTTGTGGACTCATTTGTTTTTATACAAATAACGGGTGTTTAGCCTTAATCAACCCAAACGAAAGAAGTCTTTAAGATAAGCGTTGTAGAGATAAAAATCTTAATGTATGTATTTGGTAAGTTTGCAAGTAGTTTACGTATGGCTTAAATTCCTTTTACCTCGAGTCCGCCTTCAGAATCCTGTGCGATCAGCGTGAAGGTTCCGTAATCGGCATGAGCGCCACAGCGTGTGTAATGTACCACATCACTTTGGCAGCAAGGACCCTCGTCTTCAGGTGGGACAGGCGGGTAGTACAACAGACGCATGATCGAAGGATTACGCCCATCGCCCTGCATCATACCCGAGTGACAGTCCAAGAAGGTGCCTGGAGGTACTCCTGTAATTTAGAATATATATATAATTATAATAATAATAAATACATAATAATGTTTTTATTCGAGCATCTATGCAGGTTTTTATACAAAATCAATCCAATTTTACCAATGTTTTCTGATTACAAGCATTGTTAATTCTGAGAATCTTATGATTAATCTTTTCGGTTTCGAGCTTCTCTGACTGTCTTACAACGTGAATAATAAAAAGTACAATCAAGGTTAGTTTTAAAATTGCTGTCATCTTATTTTAGCATTGTATAGCAAGTCCTCTACTTCAAGAGTCTGGATTGTATTGTGCGTTCACGTACCGAGAGCATAAGCGAGAGCTTGCAGTAGCACGCGCGACAGTTTCGTCAGGTCTTGGGCAAGAGGTACGGCGTGCTTCGTAAATTCGGGAACTTCCTCTTGTGCCGGCATCGATGCGGCATTCAGGGTCGTGATGTTGAACGAATGACGCAGCTCCTGAAACATTATGTAAATACCGTGTAAAGATGCAGATATTATAATAAATAAATAATAAATATTTACTAACAATCACGCCACGTTAAATGGTCCCGTGCTAAGTTCGTAAAGAACTTGTGTTACAGGTACCAGATGACGGAAATAAATGTAAGATTTTTATTATACAGATACATATATTTAATATACATCCATAACCCTGGAAAAGACATTTTATATTTATCATACAAATATCCTCCTTTGGCGGGATTCGAACCCGCGACCCCCTGGTGTAGTGACCATGTCACTACCACTACACCAGACGGCCGTTAATACATTATACAATTACATAGAATTAGCTAGCAAACAATATTTCCAATCCCTAATCACGTCACAAACGTTAACACCACTGATGTGTCCGCGGAAAGTATTATTAGTAAGTTGTAATTATATTTTTCGTACCTAATCCTTGGCTTACGTTATTTCAACTACGCCCGGATTGGTGTGTCAGGTTAACTATCCGCATTATGAATTGGAATATATTAGCGTCATCCCTGGTGTTATGGCATAAATTCATATCAGTGGGTTTTTCTACTACGAAGCAGACATGGTTTGGAGGTTGCAACAGCAGTTTCCCCAAACAACTGTTGAGTGAGTGGGTGGCCCCATTCACGTTGTTCTGTCTATGTGGTCTGCTAACCACCAAACATCAGGTGGTCGTTGTCTCGTTCACAAGTCATAAGCTTAATAAAAAATTGAAAATAAATTTTAATAATTTTGTCATCGGTCCTTAATAAGTATGCCAAATTTCTAGTTAATCCGATGTTTTGAAGGGGGTCAAAATCGTGTTCAAAGATTCCGTTACAAACATACATATTAACATACATACGTCTGAAGCTAATGAAAGCGTATTAAAAAAGGTGGCCATGCGTTTGTCTACATAACGCAAAAAAAGAGATAAAGTTAGACCTAAATTACCGTTTTAGTATTGTCGAACTGGTCCATGCCAGGACGAACATAGCCATGGTTGCTGACAGGGTTACGAAGATATTGCGCTTGACAGCCCTCGGGAAGTGCACAGAAATTGTCGAGGTCTCCATAGACTGATTTCAGCTGTAATGAAAATGTCAATGTTTTAATGTACTTCTATATTAAATAATATATAAATCTATAGTGTTTTTTACAGATGTTCCGTTATAATTACTGAACCATGCATCCGATTGACTTGAAACTTGGTATCCAAGTAGAAAATACATGTACTTAATGAATAGGCTAATATTTATATGAGTGTTGGACTCCCTTACACCAGTGGTGGGGGCGTTAATAATGAGAATCTTTGTGGGGGTGAGAAATAATAATGTTAATTTTAAATGCCCAGCGAAGGGGACAGGTACAGCTAGTTAAATAATAAAACCCTGACACTGCTGAAGTCCATGAGCGACGGTAGCTCCCAATTCTGAAATGGGCCATGTTCTGATGTGTCTACGTAGAAAGACAAATATATAAACTATTCATTTTATATTATGTGATTATCTCGCGTTTAGTATTTATTTTATTATATGTGCATAATCGACCTTTCGAGCAATATGAGGTTTGAGTACTAAATCTCGACATTGTCACAAAAGTTCCTAACGGTCCAAGTGTTGGGCAGTTATTTGCCTTAGCCCAAATATTAATATACCTATATTATATAGATCTGCGAGCGATAAGAAGAAGATATTTTTGTAAATCATGTCCTCAGGACGTGCTGATTCATATAAAAACTTTTGCATTGCCCTTGTCTGTTCCAACTTTAACTTTTATAGGTATTTGTTGTAATACCTTTTCATCGGCAATGCCGTGGTTGACAAGTACAGCGAGTCCTTTAGTGCTGAGCGCCGTAAAAAGTTGTTGACCGATACGACGCACCACTGATTTCATAGGACACACATCTGTACCTGAAATGACAAAATTAAATTAAAGCATGGCTTATACGGAAAAAATCAATGTCGAAATCATATTGACGACTTTTTTTTTGTTTTACTTTCATAAACAATTAGAGAGAGAGAGAGAGAGAGAGAACATACTTTATTGCACACCAAAACACAATTAACATTAGAAAACAGTCAACAAGCAGATACATGTGTAAAATAGGCGGTCTTATCGCTAAAAGCGATTTCTTCCGGACAACCGTTTAATTAACAGAAATTCTGGAAAAGATAAAGATACAGCAGGTATGTATCAGCGGTGTACTATTACACATATAATACATTATTAAAGAAAATACATACATAAAATAAATTCAATTCAATTGAATATACTAATTCAAGCAATATGTACAACTCTTACTTTTTGTTAGACGATAAAAATAATTATCGTTTATACATATGTCTATGTATCATTCGTGAACGTGTGTCATGTACGTATTTCATTAAAAAAATTGGTATCCGCCCGCGAGATTCGAACATTGGCACAATCGATACGAATGCACCTGGCGTCTTACAGTTTAGGCCACGACAACTTTATTTTATATGTCGATTAAATAAATAAATGTTCCATTTTTGTAATTGTATCATGCACCGCTGCGAACTGTCTTCGATATAAACATCAGACATTCTATTAGTATATCTAGAATACTCTATTGCACAATGTCGACTCTAATCCTTTTATATTGATTAGTTTACGCATTTATCCTATAAAAAACCATATTAAGCCCCTAATTGAATAACTACTAAGTATCTACTTATTTTCAGTCACTGAAATATACATAGTCTTCGTAGTCTTACTTAGATGTTTTAATAGTCATTAAGGTGGATAGCCAGGTATATTTAGTGTAAAACATCGACTATGATTGGTGTTCTGAATCATATTCTTAAGGAATGTTTATTATAATATACTATTATTAAATTTACATTGTTTCTAAAATTCTCAGATTGAACTCTTAAGAATGTCGTCAATGTTCAGTTAATGGGATTTTAATTATAATTACTTTATAAAATGCACGTACATTAATGTATTATCTGGAATGAGTACCGGTTCAAACGATTGCATAGTTGCTCCTTATATGTAGGGGCAATTAGTATGCAATCTAAACGAATTTGTGGAATTCGAAATGAATCCTACGGTTAACAAGCTTTAATTTACCGTAAATACTTGAAATGGAGCCCCCATATTACCTTATCTGGGTTGTGAACAATGTAGATTTAACGTTACGGCTCTTGCTCGCAAAGGGTGAAAAATATATACTTATGTAAATGTGTAAATATGTCTTAATATGAATTCTAAAAACCAAAATGATTTATCAAAATGAATCGGGTAGTTTTGGCTTCTCGAACGACCAAATATATAAACAGAAACATCAAAAACAAAAAAAGTTAATGAATAATGATGTGGTCAGTTACATTAGTGACGTACAAAAATAGATAATTAGAAGTTAATTAATAATGCATCAATTATCAAGCCAATTTGTAGCTGATGGAACGATTGATCAGAAGTACATTTAGAAAATATTGTGTTTATTTTTCTATTCGTTTTATCTAAAATATATTATTTGTGTATTTCTAGGCTACGTGCTGGATTTTAATACAAATTGTTTGTAGGTGAAAATTGGACCGTTCTATCTCATTCTATAAATTAGTGTTGATGTTTTAAGTTAGTAACAAACCATCTATCTTTGCTCACCGTACGATAAATCGCTTGAAATAACGTGAAAACTGAAAAAAATGTGTTAAGTATTTAAAACAAAAACGTGGGTTCACCTTGTCCCGAGCAATGAATAAAATAAAATATACGGCTGTGCATACATTCCGAGTTTGTGAAGGTCTGGCCGTGACATCGTTCCGATGGATATCCACTGACATATATATTACAGGGACAAATCAGGACAGATTTCGAACTGTGACTTTGTATATTTTTAAACGAATTTCGACGAAGACTTGAGTAAAATATAAATTAATAATTCCTCGATTTACATTTATTTAAGGCTTTTAGAACGAAATTTTCGCAATGTTATGTATAGTTTATGAATGCTTGAATTTTAGTAACTATTACGATAACAGCATCTTGCGGTCAAACGTGTTGATAAAGCGACCGTTAACGGTCACCACGTTCGCGTTGCTGACGTCATTACAATCACATAAATATTATTGCGCCACTTTGAGAAGGCGGCACGACATGAGAACCCTCTCTTATCGTGGCGGCTGAAAACTACATACCCGATCCTGTAGACCGAATGGTAAACAGTCGACGTCGCCCAAAGCACGTCATTACGGATCCTCCCGATCCATTAATGGTGCTTTTAGGCACCACAAGCACCAGTCACCGTCCTCGTCGAACCCGTCGCTTGCGACGAAGGGCTCGACGAGCGAATTAACCCATAGACACAGCCCACTGAGTTTCTCGCCGGATCTTCTCAGTGGGTCGCGTTTCCGATCCGGTGGTAGATTCTGCGAAGCACTGCTCTTGCTAGGATCAGTGTTAGCAACAGTCCGGTTTGGGCACCGTGAGCTCACCTACACAATTTCGGGTGAAGCTGAAATAGCCTCTCAAGGCTATCAGCATAGATAGAAAAAAAAAACAATATTACAGTTAGCATTATTAATACGACCGTTTGCTAAATTTAATATCTAGACTTTGCTATCTATCGTAAATCAGGCAAATGGAGATTGAAGATTTTCGTATGAATAACGGATTGTTTTTAATATACATGCATTTGCTTGTTATAATCTAGATTGTAGCTGTTAAAAATAATATTACACTTATCAAAATTAAATTTACCGGACAATTTTGTAATGGGTACTTTTATTTATAAGTTACATTAGGATTGGGATATGTGATAAGCAAGGACCTGTTTGATATTACGAGTATTTTGTTAATTTTGGTTAGAAGAAAACAATAATTCATTTACGTAATACTAATTTTTCGTTAACAATTCAGTTTTAGTCATTTAAACGCTGTGCTAGATATATCTTATTAACTATGTATCTTATTTGGTAATTATGCAAAAAAAGGTCAAACTATTAAAATCTTCGGCACATTTCCATCTATATAATCATGTTTAAAATATTAAAAATAACCTTTTTATCATTATCTTTACGTATGTAAGTACAAGCCGTTCACCTTTTTTTTGTAATTTTATCATGTTTGAAATTTAATTATATTTATTAATTTCTATTACGGTACTTTTTTATTATTATTTTAAGCAAAGTATTTATATCTTATGTTATATTTGCTTCTCAGGAGTGTCCGGTTCAAAGAAATTCAATACCGACTACGGTCAATTTATAATTCATGGAAATAGTTAAGTATTTGCGAATTACAGGAAAGCAAATAGATTTTTGTATATATTAAATTCAAACATTATAGTATTTTTGTCTGCACAAAAATAATCGGATTTGTATAAATAATCTGAGTCTGATTTATACGTTAAATTTCATCAAGAAGTACCTTGCAATTTCTGATTTCTGCACCATAAACCATAAGTACTTTCAAGATAACATTAAATCAAACGCTGACGTCAATGGTGACTAGGTACAACTAGTTAAGTACTTTCCCGTTAAACTGGTTTCCGAATGACAATAGAGCAGTTTGTGACACGTTTTATTGTAGCTTTACTGCTAACGTTTTCAGCTGTTAACTTTTATGATTGTTTTGCATAATTTCGGCATCTATATCTTTGATTATTTAATTCGATTGTTTAGTTACCGTATTGACGTAAACGTCGAAGGACACGGAGTCGGTAACGTCATAGTTCAAGGCGCAATAAAATCGATTAAAATACCGATATGTTGGAATATAAACAAAAAAATTGCTTTGCTGAGTTGTGTCCGAAATCTCACGAGAACAATGCATTACGCCCGCGTTAGTACTCACGTCATCAACGTGTTTTCGAACTGAATTCTGTAAATCCTTCGCTTCCAATATTTACTGTAAAATATGTCTATTTAAAGAAACATAATATTAAATTCTGGAGTTAATAAACTGATTCAAAATCATCCAGGATTCCGGTCCTCAAACAGAAAAGCAACAAAGCCCTTTCAAAAATGACATTTTGTGTTTTGTAAGCTGTTTTGCAGATGAACGCATCGATGATTATCAGATGTTCGGGTTTACCGAACTATTCTGGATTTAGCTTCCGTATTCCATGTTCTGTATGACAAAAATATCCAAGTACACGTAGTTTTATATTTTTCTAAGTCAATTTATATCATAAGCTGTTTTCCGAATGAAATCAATATAGATTTGTCAACCGAATAACGACTTTACTGTTATATCAAATGAATCATTAATCTGACTATCGTAACAAATTTAGTGTTAACGGGGTAAAAGCAAACATATTATCGTTATAATTTAAAGTTTGCAACGTGCAGCAAGCTGACAAAATAAGATATAACAAAACTTTCTGAACTGGTGGTAGGACCTCTTGGGAGTCCGCACGGGTAGGTACCACCACCCCGCCTATTTCCGCCGTGAAGCAGTAATGCGTTTCGGTTCGAAGGGTGGGGTAGNAAAAAAAAAAAAAAAAAAAAACACTAGCTGGCAGGTAGGTAGACAGGTTGGTAGGCAGCGGCCTGGCTCTGCCCCTGGCATTGCTGAGGTCCACGGGCGACGGTAACCACTCACCATCAGGTGGGCCGTATGCTCGTCTGCCTACAAAGGCAATAAAAAAGATAGCGATCATAAATGAATGTTTAACGTTAAGTGTTAACTGAACTTTTCATTGTGTCGACAAACAACAAATCTATTCAGCAGTCAATTTTCTGTGTCAACATGATCTGGTAACACTAACCGCAATCAGGCTATACCAGTTTTTTAAACGGAACTATGGTTATTTGACATGTTTTTTTTATGTATATTTTTATGCCTTAGAGGAGCGGACGAGCTCACAGCCCACCTGGTGTTAAGTGGTTACTGGAGCCCAGACATCTACAAAGTAAATGCGCCACCCACCTTGAGATAT